CCATAAATGCAGCAGAACCTGTTTGCTGTGGGTGTGTGCAGTATATGTTTCAGGTTTGACTTTCACAGGTCTTTGTGTTTGTTTTGGTGCTTGTTTAACCAGAGTTAAACCAAGCTGTGTCATAACTGCTTGAAAACATGTCCTTAGCAGAGCGCTCAGACTAGTGTGACATACACTGATGAGACTGTCTGCAGCTCCAGAATGGGCCATTGTAGCAGAAGCTTTATGTATGTATGTGGGTCATTGCTTCCCTGTTGGTAAAGTGGTTCAGGTTTCATTTTTAGCTGTATTCCTTTGCCCCACAGCCTCAAGAATTGTCTGCCTGTGTGTGTGTGTGTGCCTCTCCAGAACTGTGCCTTTCATTGTAAAGAACATCAAAAACATAGACAAGCTCCTGCACCTGGCTCCTGTTTACACTCTGTATACCAGCTGAAATGTACGTGCTATAGGGTTGGAGCAGTATTAGGTGTGGACAATGATCATCGTAAGCTTTTCTGAGCGTGTTGTGGACATCAGTACTTAGTTACATTGATCAACAGCGTTTTATTACAAATTGAGCATAATTAATCCTGTTTAACTGGATTTAGTGCAGCACAGTATGTGAAATGTTGAATAGAAGTCATTATATTAAAAAAATAAATAAATAAATATTGTATCATGGATTTGTATCATGAAATGTTGTTTTTTTTTACCAGAACGTCCAACACCAGGCTGTATGAAAATTTTCTGTCATGATGTCAGAATCCCTAGTGATCAGTTTTCTGTATTATTGTAATTTAGTTCCAATATGCTGGCAGTTAGGCCTGTCACACTCATGAAGTTTTAGCTGACATTTGTTATAGAAATAACTGCAATTGGCAATGTAGTTGTCTTGTTCATGGTAAAGGTCAAATTGGCTTAATAGCCATCTTGCTTCCTGGATGCTTAGTAGCTAATGTAGGTGGTACTGTCTAATTAATGTGCTCAAATATTTCAGAATCGAGTGTAGTTGAGCAAAGCTTTAATTTTTCTTGAGAGTGAAAATATACACAGATCAGGCATAACATTATGACCACCTCCTTGTTTCATTGTCCATTTTATCAACTTCACTTACTATATAGGTGCACTTTGTAGCTCTACAATTACAGACTGTAGTCCATCTGTTTCTCTGCATACTTTGTTAGCCCCCTTTTACCCTGTTCTTCAGTGGTGGATCATTCTCAGCACTGCAGTAACACTGAGGTGGTGGTGGTGTGTTAGTGTGTGTTGCGCTGGTATGAGTGGATCAGACACACCAGTGCTGCTGGAGTTTTTAAACACTGTGTCCACTCACTGTCCACTCTATTAGACACTTCTACCTTGTCAGTCCACCTTGTAGATGTAAAGTCAGAGACGATAGCTCATCTGCTGCACAGTTTGTGTTGGTCATCCTCTAGTCCTTCATCAGTGGTCACAGGACGCTGTTGGCTGGATATATTTGGTTGGTGGACTATTCTCAGTCCAGCAGTGACACTGAGATGTTTTAAAAACTCCAGCAGCACTGCTGTGCCTGATCCACTCAGACCAGCGCAACACACACTAACCTGTCAAAATTAGTTGGAATTCACACCCATGTTCTTAGATATTTCAGTAGAAATCTGTGCAAATTATTCAGCATGAACTATGAAGAATTCATGAATTTTTTTGGATATAAACTTCGGCCCAGCATGCATTTGACACCATGTATGAATGACGACACAAGTAGCTTGGATGGGTCTACTGTCCATCGTGAAAAAAAAACCCCAAAAAAACTCTAGGTCTGCTATTCAGATTGTGACAATGTAAACATGAACTACAACAGTAGAACCATGTACACAACATATGTATCAAATGTGCATGTATTAACATTAAAAGTGCAACAGCCAAGAGCATCAGGTCAAATGTACATAAATTGGCATTGAATGTGCAACACAACCATGTTTCAACAAAATGTGTGTACATGTAGGAATACTGGCATATGTAAACTAATAAATATCCAAATAAAAAAAAAAAACATGATAATCATATACGGTTATCAGAATGGGTAAACTTTGAAATGGTTTGATTATCATTGGGTTTTATAGCATGATGTACATCTAAAACCAGTAAGCTTCCCACATGTAGTGCTGATCATGTACACTCCCGTCTCTGATGGGACGACGCTCTGGGTGGGTGGTTGAGATGGACTGCTGTGTATCCTGGAGGCTGGAAGTGACGTGGGTGTCACACAGAGAGTCGTCAGTCAGAGACAGAGATGGTGCAGAGGAAGCCCAGATAGACAAAGCTGGAGCCAGCATGTCACGCCTGTCACCCAGAACTGCTCTGCTCTCGTAGGTGGTAGCTGGCCTTCAGGACACATGTGATCATGCTTCGTTTAACCCCTGCTCTGCTCACTCGTTCAGATGATTATTCCACACTGTCCTGCGGCACTAATCCCTTGCCTTTCTCTTTTGTGTCCTTTGTAGGGCTGTCACTATCGATTGCGTTAGTTGTCGAGTAATCTAGCAGTTATTTTGATGATTAGGCAAGAAATGATACACACAATTTATAACAGGAAATATTTCATTATATCATATACTGTACATTATAGGGTTGGGCGATATGACAGTATTTATAGTTATCATGATAAATTACTTCACAATATGTCAATATGCTTCTCTGAGCACATTTTGGACATAATCAGTACTTAAAACACTTTCCAACTACATGTGTGACCACAAAGAGAGCAAAATTATTCCTGTTTAACTGGATTAAGCACAGCACAGTATGTGAAACATAGCTAGCAGTCAATAAAATTTTACACTAGTTATCATCGTGTATGCCTGAATCATCACAAACTTGACAAACTAGTGATGGGTAATATGGTAATATTTCTGCTGTATTGATAAATTACATTGTGGTTTATTACACAGTGTTTTTCTGAACTTATCATGGATGTCAATACTTAAAAATACGGATCAACTGCATGGTTGATTATAAAGAGAGCATAATTGGTTCAGTGCAGCACAGGAAGTAAAAAGTTGAATAAAAAACGTTGTGTACATAGTGTTGATGGTATATTTTTATATGTGGACATGACTGGAGCTTTTTGTGTGTTGCAAATTAGCAAACCTCAGAAAAACCTAATATCGTGATTCATATTGTGTCTTGTCGAAAGATCTTGAAGTATCATGGTGTTTGTATTTTTGTCATATCGCCCACCTCTAACTGAAACCATGTGAAGTAATCTTAAAAAGATTTGCTTGTGTGGCTTCTGACACTCTGTGTTGTTGTCTAGTATATTAACTAGAAAATCCAGCCCAAAAATATGGACAGAATTACAGTGATGTTTCTTAAGCTACATCGTCCCTTCATACATAGTTCTCTTTACATCTTAATACACAAGCTACCCCCCACCCACCCATAAACATCTTGTTACCACAGCTGCAGCATCTGGAGCAACTTTTTTCCCTCTTGCTTCAAGACAGTTTTGATTCCACGCCTGTGGATTGGGATACATGTCGCAACAAATATGTATTTATTACAGCTGCTTCTTATTTGTATCCACATATTTGACATTTTCTGCTTATGCTGCATTGCAAATTGTTTAATGGGCACAATCCAGCTGACTACCCAGCAGTGTCCCATATTTGAGAAGCCAGCGGTAAAGGAAAGAATGCAAGAACGTAGTGTTCAGCCAGTTTCTGTCCTGAACTTTTGTTTATTGTAAGTACATATACACGCTGACTGGCTACTACATTAAGCACACCTACTTAAATAACATCTGCATTCATTGTCCATTTTATTAGATCCACATAACAAATAGGTGCACTTTGTAGTTCTACAAACTTTGTAGCCACCTTTCACTCTGTTCTTCAATGGTCCGGACACGTAGGACTGCCATGTCTGATCCACTCATATCAGCACAACACAAACACGCCGCCACCACCACCACCACGTTCACCACCCAGATAATACCTGCTCTGTGGTGGTCCTGACCATTTAAAGAACAGGGTGAAAGGGGCTAACAAAGTATGCAGAGAAACAGATGGACTACAGTCTGTAATTGTAGAACTACAAAGTGCCTCTATATGGTAAGTAGAGCTAATAGAATGGACAGAAAAGTGTAGATACAACGAGGTGTATTAAATGAAGTGCATATATATTATGCACACTCCACGTATAGATGCTCACATTGTGTAATTATCAAATAAGACTGTTTATCATATAAGATTGGAGTTGAGAATGGCTGATAAAGTGCACTGCAGCCCTGCCGAGTTGGCTGTTTTGAGGTTCTTAGGTAGAGTATGTTTACTATGTACTATGTTTAATAGAGAATGTTTACCTCTGTGTATGATCAGCTCAGAAGAAGAACTGGATCTCTTAGAGCAACCTGCAACTTGCTTAACTAGATTGCCCACAATAATTTTACAGCAGGTGTTAAAAACATACCCTTTTAAATATTATTTCTGCTTAATTCAGTTGTTGAGATGTAAATACAGTCATTCAGAGAGATTTGATGTGGAGTTGTTAATTGTAGAGAAACTGACTGACTGGGATTTCTTTACAGTGGTGATGATCATAGGATGATTGAGTCCATGACGCGAATTAAGCCATTTTACTTATTATCTATAACCACCAGTGAATTGACACGTGCCTTCTGAGTTTTTGTATGTAGTGTTAAAAAGTGCCATAACTGTCATAAACCAGACTATTTTACCTCACAACACCATGCATATAAAATATTTCGTTTTAGACCGAAACCTCCCTCATAGCTATTGGGAAGACAATGTCTCAGCAGCATGATAACGTCTGGTTCCACCTCTGTGAATAAATTTAGCTCAGTAAGTTTCTCTTAAATGGTGCATTTCACATCAAACCGCTCTGAAAGACCATTTACATCTTCACTGTTTAATTTTGCAGAAATTCTGAATTCCCTTTAATATTGCACTATGCCAGATTACAGGACACTAGTATAAATGCACTGTAGCTGATCTGATTGTTTATTTTCCTGTACGTTGTAGAGAATGTTCCGGTGGAGCTACGAGACCCATTCTACTGCGACCAATACGAGCAGGAGCACCTGAAGCCGCCCGTGACCCGGCTACTGCTGTCACCCGACCTCTACTGCCGCACATACGGCCTGCTACTGGCCGGAGGCTCTGGGGCTGAAGGGCCTCCCAGAGACAATGCCGCCCTCCTGCAGACCCTCAGCAAAAAGGGCCTGGTTCCAAAAGATCAGAACATCCCTGTGACCGAAGCTGACCTCAGCCACAAACCCATCAAAATGGTAAGAGGTGCTGTGTTGAGGTTGTGGTTCGCAGGCACATTCCCATCTGGCATGTGCAGATAGAAGAGTGTCTGGTGGGGGGGGGTGGATTTTTCAGACACAGCTGTGTGAATTATTGAGCATCTGTGTCTGCTGGTGAGCATGGCTTCAGATCAGAGAACGCCCCGGTCGCGCTGGAGCCTGTCCAAACATCCAAATCAATCCAGTAGTTGACCTTTTACCTCGCTGGGACAGGGAATGGGATTTTTGTGATCGCATTTAGAAAAGGGTTCTGCTGACCAGGAGAGTATTGAGAGAGGGAGGGGCTGGGATGGGGTGAGTCCCGGTTACGCTGTGATTCGAGGGATTAGAGGGCATAAAGACCAACCCCCCACTCTAGCAGTCATTAAGGCTGAGTGGCTTTATCTGTAAGAGACTGTGTCCTGATAATATACAATAATAAAGTACTATAGATCAGGCTTTAAAGGAGAATTTCATAAATTATTCAAATTTTTTGCATAATGCAATCTGTGTAAACAGTCATTCAGAGTGGTTTCATGTGTAATGGTTAATTGTAGAGAAATGTACTGACTGATTTTCTTTACAGTGGTGGTTTTAGGAACCAGACTTCGCAGTGTCTACAGCGTCAGTGTAGTTGTTTTATTTACCATCAAACACAACCACTGGACCTACTGTCTTCTGAATTTTTTTTTTCTAAAAATATATTTTTTGTATTTCATGTGTTGTTGATGGTAAAATAGTGATAAGTCTAAAAAAATTATGTTTTGTCTGGGGACTATTTTATCTTGCATGTACCTCACCATCGTGAATCGAATTTAAAAATGCAGTGTAGGCCAAACCTTCTCAAACTACCATAAAACAATGTCTCAGACATTAAGCAGTGTATTCATAATTATTTAATGTAATAACGTCCAGTCAGGTAGCATTTAGGGTGTGAAACAGAATGAACCATCGTCCCCTCCCTGCGTACCTTCTTTGGTATGTGGAAAAGACGAATTTCTGATGTTGTTTTGACAAGTGCATGTGTTTGATCATCTCTTCATAAACTCAGACTTGTAAATCATAGAACAGATGGTTTGACTTTTAAATATTTTCAAGGCTGAGGCACGTTCAAAGCTGTTATATTTAATATGCACGTTTGACTTCACACACAAATTGTATTGTGTATTAGCCACTCGAGGCTGTATTACGTGGATTTTACCTTGCTCTGCATCCTGCAAAATCATCAAGTCAAGTCAGCTTTATTGTCAATACTACAATATGTACAGGACATACAGAGTATTGAAATTGCATTACTCTCAGACCCCATGGTGTAGCAATAACGTTAAATAGGCAGTAAACAGGAAATGTGTGAATTAAATAGATACTAAATAAACAATAAACACTGATCGTAGAAATAAACACTATTTGTAGAAAAATAGAATAAAAAAATATATTATTATTATTTATTCTTTATATATATATATATATATATATATATATATATATATATATAAAGAATAAATAAAAAAATATCAATGTGAATGCTAAGCAAACCAGCACTAAAATGCAACAGCGTATCGTTTTCCACTTTGGTACAGACCAAGGGAACCGAACTATAAATACATGCTTAATGCATTAAACTCTTCAGACGTCTGGTTCAAATTGTCGCTGCTGTGAAAAACTCTGACTCAGCAAGATTTTCTAGAAACTTACATTTCACATCAATCCATTCAGAATGACTTTGTTTATATCTTAATGATTGATTTAATGGACTCTATGTGGTATAAAGTGAAAGTTGTGTTAATCTAAAAAAGATTTAACTGTTCCTCTGAAGCAATAAACCGAATAAAGAGAGCTAATTCTGTGTGGATGTTGCTCTTTCTGCTCCATCTCTCATCACAGGGTTGAAGTCAGGGGACACCTCTTATTTGTGCCTTTTCTCAGATGTGATCCTCTAGCATCAGCTGTTGCTCGTATCCTCAAGGGAATTAATCTTTCTGAAGGCTGTTCACCTTTTTAGAATAAAACGTGAACCCACACATTGAAAGAGCTGCGTTTTCAGACATGAATAACTCTGTTTGATTTGTCAGTCTTCTGCAGTGACCTGATTATTATTCTTTTCTTTCCGTGGATTCGCCTACCTGTTACCTTCTTTCTTTTTTCTGTCACGCCTCAGAGAGTATTTTCCTAACAGAGACATAAGCTTCATAATATCTCCTAGCGGATTGGTGCGTGTGCGGCTCTCACCATAGTGAGCGCTCTGCACTCAGCTGCCTCTGTCTGGTGGTCATGGCAGCAGGTGCTGCGCTGGTGCCATAGCGACGGGTTCAGTGAGGTGTGATGATGTGCTCTGTGCTCGGTCTGCGCTGTCTGGCGGTGTGGGGAGCCGTTCCCAGGCCTGGCTGTGAGGGAGCGCTGGGGTTTGGCTGTAACGGTCTGGCGCGGGCTGCGCTGGCTGGCTGGCTGCGGTAGCGGCGGGGAAAGTGGGTCACGCGGCAGCAGCATTAGGAGGATGGAGCAGCAGGGTGGGCCACAGCCAGTAAACAGCTTTGGAACAGCAGCAATCGGTGCAAAGCTCAATCTACTGGCATGCATGAGGCAGACTTAACTGTGCAGAGTCAGTGAAACATCAAACAGCATCCGTTCACTATGAGAACGAGGGCACTGTACAGTCACTGATCTTACTGCTCACGTTATATATAAACTCACTGACTGACTGACTGACTGACTGAAAGACATGATGAGATTGAGACCCTTGTTTTTATATCTGTCTTTCTTCTGTCTTCTCTCTCACTCTGCCCATCATTTCATTGTACTGTACACTTGCGTTTGTGTGTAATTGAAATGTATCTGTTTTTTTCTTTTTCTTTCTTTCTGTCTTTGTTTCTTTCCCCCTTACTTTTCTCTCTCTTTCTAGCCTGCTAACTTTTTCTTGCCTTCTCTTATTTTCTTACTCTCACTTTTTTCCTTGCTTTATCTTTCTTTCATTTCTCTTACAGACTTTTTTCTGTATGTAACTCTTTCTTTCTTGCTTTAGCTCCCACTTTCTTTCTCCCCCTCCTTTCTGTTCTTTATTGCTTTTATATTTTTCTATTTCGCTCTTTATTTTTTCTTTTTTCTCTTTCTTATCTTTCTTATCTGTCTTTCCCTCTGTCTCACTGCCACTGTCTTTTCTTTTTTTCATTTCTTTTTGCCTTTCTTCTTTTTCTTCCCATTCATTTTCACACTCTTTCTTCAAGCTATTCTTGCTTTCAGCCTTTCTTTGTCTTACACTCTTGTTTTTTTTTTCCTTCTTTCTTTTTTCTCAGTCTCTTTTTTCCTTTATCTTTTTCTGTGTATTACACTGTATCTTTTTCTCACCCTCTCGCCCTCTCTCTCTCTCTCGCTCTCTCTCTCTCTCTCTCTCTCTCTCTCTCTCTCTCTCTCTCTCTCTCTCTCTGTCTGTCTGTCTGTCTGTCTGTCTGTCACATCCCCCACCCAGCACTCCTCAGATTGAGGATAAAAGATCTGTGAAGATTAGTGATAATCTGTGATCCAGACTCCACGTCAGCCGCTGCAGTATATCAGCGGAGTGAGGCTCTACTCCACCAGCTCTGGTTAATGGGGTTCGGACAGGAGCCAACACGCTTTGCGTTTAACTCTTGCTGCGTAGACAGCATTCCCTACGAGAAAGCAGCCGCGAACAGGAGGTGTCACCCGTACATAAACCCGTCTCACCTACAGGCTGGGAGTGCAGGGGTCTGGATCTGCTCCAGTTGAGCCCTGGGTTGTTTTTCTAGTAAATTGATGAGGGAACTGTCTAATGAATGCCTTAACATGCACAACCAAAACAGGACAGAGATACAGAATTCAGTCCACTTCCTGTGAGGCAGTTGCTCTTGGTTCGAAATGGTGTACGTGTTGTTCATTTGTAGTGGTTCTACTAAGGCAGAGCAAAATGACATTATTATATATTGTGTAAGGCTGTGTATTTCTCCAACTAAGTAAGTAATGTGGCTTTTTTGTTTTTTTTTTCTTTCCCCCATAGCTGCATGCTAGACAACAAAGTCTTCTTTAGATTGCGACATTGCTCTGTTGTGTTTAATGGCCTTCCAGATGGGCTGGTTTTGCCTAAGCTAATACAGATTGCTCTTGCGGCCTGTGTGTTTACATGTGTCTGCTATGAGGAAGAAGGACACAGTCCACACCATCATGCACGGTTTCCTGAAAACCACCCCCTACTGAGAGCTTGACCCCACTCAGCCTCCTGCTCGTGGCTGTGCGGGGTAAAGGTCTGGGGGGTTGGGCTAAGTATGTGTACATGGTTGGATTTTTTTTTTTAATGTTGTTAAACTGCAGCTATAATCACTGAGGCGGCGGTTCTTTTGTTTCTACTTCGTTCTGTCATGGAGTCTCTGCTTCAAGGGTTTGTTTTGATGCTATGAGAAGATTGACTTGGGCCTGGGCAATACAACGTTAATGATATTTATCAAAATCAAAAAATGATATTCCGATGAGATTTTTGATGAAATAACTATGATCAGTGACTACTTTGAAATGCTAGGTGGCGATGTACACATTTTACTTACTAGTCAGGGTGAACACGACTAGCTCCTCACCTGTACAAACCAATGGATCATTTTTTTTATTACATCAAAAGCCATTTGTTCAAGGTTCAAAATGCTACTCAGATTTAAAATAGAATATTAGGAAAAATATACAGTGGCAGTCAAAGATTTGCTCACATGCATGTCAACACTGTCTGTTCACTTAAAAACCATAACAAGTGATGGATACTCCAGCAAGCTATTTTCTGTTCAAGAAGCTGTGCAGTTTATTAATATAAATTGAGACACCATGTAAATCCATTGAGATTTTGTGGGGCTAGATTGGGAAACATTTGAAAAGGAGTCTACCCAGTATGGATGGTGTGTGGACAGCAGTGAAGAATGTGTTTGAAGCAGTAGGGCTGAAAGATTAATCGTTTTTATATTGAAATCGCAATTTAAGATCCCAAGAGCTGCAATTTTTTTTTTATT